CCCCGTTTTCCAGGAGCTGTGCCGGGCGGCCTCCCGGGAGCTGCAGCCGCCGCCGGAGCCCCCCCGGGACAGGGACAGGGACAGAGGGGGGAGCTCGGGTGAGTGAGGGGAGCCCTGGAGCCAACCCAGAGACCCCTGAGCCCCTTGGATCCCTCTGAGCCCTCTGGATCCATCCCAGATCCCCTGGAGACTCCTGAGTCCATTCCAGATCCCCCCAAGCCCCCTGGATCCATCCCAGATCCCTCAGAAACCCCTGGGTCCCCTTGAGTCCTCTGGATCCATCCCAGATCCCCCAGAGACCCCTGGATCCATCCTGGAGACCCGTGGATCCATCCCAGATTCCTCAGAGATCCCTGGATCCATCCCAGATCCCTCAGAGATTCCAGGGATCCCTGGAGCCAGCCCAGATCTCCTGGAGACCCCTGGATCCATCCCAGATCCATCCCAGACCCCTGGATCCATCCCAGATCCCTGAGAGACTCCTGGATCCATCCTGGAGACCCCTGAGTCCATCCCAGATTCCTCAGAGATCCCTGGGTCTTCCTGAGCTCTCTGGATCCATCCCAGATCCCCCAGAGACCCATGGATCCATCCCATATTCCCCAGATCCCTCTGGATCCCTTTGGATTCCCCCTGACCCTGCCTGACCCTCCCTGATCCCTTTGGATCCCCCCCGACCCTCCCTGATCCCCTGGATCCATCTGGATCCCCCCTGACCCCCCTTGACTCTCCCTAACCCCCCAGATCCCTTTGGACCCTCCCTGACCCCTCTGAATCCCTTTGGATCCTCCCTGACCCCCCAGATCCCTTTGGATCCCTCTGGATCCCCCCTGACCCCCCCCCCGTTTCCGCAGCCGCCGGGAGGATGATCCGGAAGAGCCTGAGCCGGGATCCCCCCCGGGATCCCCCCCCGAGACCCCCCCGGGACCCCCCCAAATCCGGGATCTGCGTCACCGTCACCAACGGGGCCCCCCCAGGTGAGGGAGCCACCGGATCCCAACGGATCCCACCGGGAACCACCCAGAAATGGGGATTTTCCCACCTGGAATCTTCCCAGGGGTGGGTGGGGGGGGGGGGGGGGGGGGGGGGGAGAGGGGCCAGGGGGGATCCAAAGGGATCCAGAGGGATCCAGAGAGATCTGAAGGAGGTGGGAAGGATCCAGAGGGGTCTGTGGGATCCAAGGGATCCAGGATCAATCCAGAGGGATTGGGGGCATCTGGGGTGGATCCGGAGGGGTCTGAGGGATCCAGAGGGATCCAGGGGAACTGGGATGGATCCAGAGGGATCCTCAGGGATTCGGAGGAATCCAAGAGAACTGGGATGGATCTGGAGAGTTCTGAGGGATCCGGGATGGGTCCAGAGGATTCTGTGGGATCCTCAGGGATCCAGAGCGATCAGAGGGATCTGAAATCAATCAAGAGAGATTGGGAACATCTGGGGTGGATCCAGAGGGTTCCATGGGATTCTCAGGGATCCAGGGGGGTCAGAGGGATCTGGGATCAATCTGGGTGGATTGGGGACATCTGGGGTGGATCCAGAGGATTCTGTGGGATCCAGAGGGGTCCAGAGGGATCAGAGGAGTCTGGGATGGATCCTGAGGGATCCAGGGGAGCTGGGATGGATCCAGAGGGTTCTGTGGGATCCAGAGAGATCAGAAAGATCTGGGATGGATCCAGAGGGGTCAGCGAGGTCCTCAGGGCTCCAGGGGAATCAGGTGGATCCACAGGGATTCAGGGATGTCAGAGAGATCTTCAGGGATCCAGAAGGATCCGCAGGGATCCATGGGGGGTCTGAGAGATCCAGGATCAATCCATAGGGATTTGGGGCATCTGGGGTGGATCCAGAGGGATCAGTGGGATCCTCAGGTATTCAGGGACATCAGAGAGATCCGCAGGGATCCAGGGACATCAGAGAGATCCAGAGGGATCCATAGGGATCCTCAGGGATCCGCGGGGGCTCCTCGGGCTCTGTCCCCCCCCGTGACCCCCGAATTCCCCATTCCCAGGCAGTTCCAGCTCTGGGATCCCGGGGATCCCTCCGGGATCTGGGAAGCGCCGTCGTGTGACGGCGGAGCAGGAGGGGAGCTACCGCATCTCCCTCCCCAAGGGAAGCACGGCCCGAAGCAGGAGGATCCTGCAGCTCCAGGCCGCCAAAGGTACCCGGGGAGGGGGGAAATCATCCCGAATTCCCGGGATTTCTGGGTCCCCAGGGGGGATTTCGGGGGGTTTGGGAGCCTGGAGGGGGGGGATGATCCCAAATTCCCGTGACTCCTGGATCCCCAGGGGGAACTGGGGGGTTTTTGGGGGGTTTTGGGGTCAAGGGGGGAAATGATCCCGAATTCCTGGGATTTCTGGGTCCTCAGAGGGGTTTTGGGGTCGAGGGGGGATATGATCCCGAATTTCCAGGATTCCTGGGTCCCCCGGGGGGATTGGGGGAATTTTGGGGGGTTTTAGGGTTGAGGGGGGGGGGGTCCCGAATTCCTCGGAGGTCTGGGTGCCCAGGGGGGTTGGGGGGGATTTCAGGGGGTTTTGGGGCCTGGAGGGGGGGGGGAAGATCCCGAATTCCCGGGATTTCTGGGTCCTCAGGGGGAATTGGGGGGATTTTGGGGTCAAGGGGGAAAATGATCCCGAATTCCCGGGATTCCCGGATCCCCAGGGGGAATTGGGGGGTTTTGGGGGGGTTTTAGGGCCTGGAGGAGGGGGTGATCCTGAATTCCCAGGATTCCTGGATCCCCAGGGGGAATTGGGGGGATTTCAGGGAGTTTTGGGGCCTGGAGGGGGTCGGTTTGTCCCGGAATTCCCGTGGGTTTTTTTTCCCTTTGGAATTGTCAGGTCTGGGCAGGACGTCGGTGTTCCAGAGGCTCGGGGCCGAGGCCAAGGCCGACGGGAAGGTGAGGAGGGATCCAGAGGGATCTGGGGGATCAGCAGTGGAGGAGGGATCCAGGGGATTAGGGATGCAGGAGGGATCCAGAGGGATCCAGGGAACTGGAAGAGGGATCCAGAGGGATCTGGGGGATCCAGGATGGAGGAGAGATCCAGGGGGATCCAGAGAGATCTGGAGGATCAGGGATGGAGGAGGGATCCAGAGGGACCCAGGGGATCAGGGGAGTTCAGGGATGGAGAAGAGATCCAGGGGGATCGGGAGTCAAAAGGGCTCAGGATCCTAAATGATCCAGGATCCGGGGGGGGCAGGATCTGGGATCCAGAGGGGCCAGATCCAGAGAGAGGATGATCCAGAAGGGTCCGGGACCCAGAAGGTTCTGGAATCCAGAAGGGTTTGGGATCCAGAAGGATCCAGGATCCAGAAGGGTCCAAGATCCAGAAGAATCCAGAAGGTTCCAGGCCCAGGCAGGATGGGGTGGGGGGG